CCTCTGGTTGATCAAAGCTCAGCCTCACCTCAAGAAAATAATATCTGTGGCTCTGCAATCCATTGGGTGGATTCTTGCATTAAACTGAGAGATAAGGTAGCATTTCATGGCATCAACATTTCTGTACTGTATCAGTGATTTGTTAAAGAAAGGCTTTTATCATCAGCTGGTGGTGTTTCATTCAAACGTTAGTTTACTGGGTCAGTGTTAGTGACTGGTTCCTTTTATAATTATAAACCAATGGCCACTGGCACAAACAGAGAGGATGAATCTCTCCAGTGGGGACACAGACAGCAATAACGTTTAGCGATACATACACTTTAATTGTATTTCTTAGGCCTCATGCACATTGGACGTTTTTACAGCTGCTCTTTTTTGATGTTTTTTTTCTACAGCTAGTAAACCCCCCCTGCATGTTATCCTATGTGCCCATGCACACATAGACTGTAATCAACGTTTTTGGCTGTAAAAAAAAAAAAAAAAAAAAAAAAAAACCCCAGGACTCTGTTTCTGGTTTCTAGAGGAGTTATTTAACTGTAAAATGCTCTAACCCCGAAAAACGCTGAAAAATGCAGCAAAACACGCTAAAATTCTAAAAACGCGAATGCGGAAAAACGTGGGAAATTGCCACTAAACACTAATGCAAAAACGCTAAAAAAAGCTGAAAAAACTGACGTTTTTAACATGACTTTACACAGCTAACGTTACCAGTGTTATCAAAACATCCCGTGTGCATGAGGACTTAATAGGAACCAGTGCCCAGACTGTGGACAGTGAATTATTTGCATATTCTAAGCAGAAGCAGTAAAAACACTTTAAAGCAAGCTCGCATTCATCTCTGTAGCTATATATTTTGGAGAATCTTCATCTTCAAAGTTCACATTGCTGAAATCTTAACTTCTTTATTATTACTGTAAAATGGGATTTTGACAACCTGACAGCCCTCTGTTGTAAACACACAGCAAGTGTTATTAGGCTGCTAGAAACCCACTGAAACTCAATTTTAGATTCTTTGTAGATCATTGAAGATCTTTGAGAATGCATTACTTTACCAAAAGGTCCAGCTAAAAAAGTAATTACTTGTTGTAAACCTCTTTTACTGCTTGTTAAGGATAAGTAATTACTTTAATACCCATAGTCTGGGCACAAGTTTACAACATTATTCTCTACTGAAGCTTCTCACTCCCTCTGTCATTCTACTCTTTTTCTTTGACGTTCGTTTTAAAGTGACTTGCTAGATAATAGATTTTCAATATTGTGACTGAGTTAATTAATCTACAACAATCACACATCTATGCAATTAAATCATGTAGCAGAATTTTTAGGGCTTGTCCACACCATGTCACCATGTCACACCATCATACCACAATCCATAGATGTGCACCAAGCACAGGTGACTCATCAGACTCAATACATTTCAATGTCACACAAGACTAGATAAAGTCAAAGTACACATAAACACACAGTCGAAGTTGAACATTTGTCAATAACCTTGTCGTAAAAAAAAACAGATGTTGTCGGTAGGACATATAGCAAGTTTTTTATAACTTAACTGTGAAAAATGAATTATATACTATAAAACATAAAAGAAAAAACAAACTTGTAGATGTGGGTTGAAAATTTTTTTTTGTGTGTTGCAGTGCTCTTGATACTATTTCCATATTGCATAACCTCAATATAAATTACCTAAACTGTTTGGTCTACCGTCGCCCAGCCTCTAGAATCATGCAGTAAAAGTACTGTTTTATACAGTTGTATCCCTCCTTTAGGATATATCACCGTAGTTTCATTAGAATTTACCCAGTGAGACTATATTTTTTTACTCTGTATGTCATCCTATATAAAGGAATATTAATCAATTTCTTCTAAGCTGCTATACTAATGGCGTCAGTATATATCCAATTTAACGTTATTAACTTTCTAACATAGAAAAAAAAAATTCCCAATATCCTAGTGGCAGTGTTCACTATTTCATCCTTCAAGGAGGCCTACTAAAGGACTACATGCATTCAGGAGGTTCGAAGTGTCAGCAATGAACTCAGGGATTGTGGCTATAACTTTACTACACTGCCACACTGTATATATAACGGTTCAAAGAATTATTAGTTGTGGCCAGTCCCTCTTGTGATACACAACTTGCTAATAAGTAGGATCCCTCTGCTACTTCTGGGGTTTGTATGATTGCCTCTGGGTCAGCTTCTTGCTTGCTTAATAGAAGTGATACTGCTTATTCACTATCCTATAGAGAGGTGGTGATGTGTCACTTATCTGGCTGTGCAGTAATACATGCAATACATACAGTCATGGCCGAAATTGTTGGCACCCTTGATATTTCTCCAGGAAATCATGTATTTCTCACGAAACGTATTGCATTAACACATGTTTTGCTATACACATGTTTATTCCCTTTGTGTGTATTGGGACAAAACAAAAAAGGGAGGAAAGAAAGCAAATTCGACATAATGTCACACAAACCTCCAAAAATGGGCTGGACAAAAGTATTGGCACCCTTTCACAACTGCGGATAAATAAGAATGTTACAAGCATGTGATGCTCCTGTAAACTCACCTGGGGCAAGTAACAGGTGTGGGCAATATAGAAATCACACCTGAAAGCAGATAAAAAGGAGAGACGTTCACTAACCTTTGCATTGTGTGTCTGTCTGTGCCACACTAAGCATGGACAACAGAAAGAGGAGACGAGAACTGTCTGAGGACCTGAGAACCAAAATTGTGGCAAAATATCAACAATCTCAAGGTTACAAGTCCATCTCTCCAGAGAACTAGATTTGCCTTTGTCCACAGTGCGCAACATTATCAAGAAGTTTGCAACCCATGGCACTGTAGCTAATCTCCCTGGTCGTGGACGGATGAGGAAAATTGATGAAAGATTGCAACGCAGAATAGTCCGGATGGTGGATAAGCAGCCCCAAACATGTTCCAAAGACATTCAAGCTGTCCTGCAGGCTCAGGGAGCATCAGTGTCAGCGCGAACTATCCGTCGACATTTAAATGAAATGAAACGCTATGGCAGGAGACCCAGGAGGACCCCACTGCTGACACAGAGACATAAAAAAGCAAGACTACAGTTTGCCAAAATGTACTTGAGTAAGCCAAAAGCCTTCTGGGAAAACGTCTTGTGGACAGATGAGACCAAGATAGAGCTTTTCGGTAAAGCACATCATTCTACTGTTTACCGAAAACGGAATGAGGCCTACAAAGAACAAAACACAGTACCTACGGTAAAATATGGTGGAGGTTCAATGATGTTTTGGGGTTGTTTTGCTGCCTCTGGCACTGGGTGCCTTGACTGTGTGCAAGGCATCATGAAATCTGAGGATTACCAAAGGATTTTGGGTCGCACTGTAGGGCCCAGTGTCAGAAAGCTGGGTTTGCGTCCAAGATCCTGGGTCTTCCAGCAGGACAATGACCCCAAACATACGTCAAAAAGCACTCAGAAATGGATGGCAAAGAAGCGCTGGAGAGTTCTGAAGTGGCCAGCAATGAGCCCAGATCTAAATCCCATTGAACACCTGTGGAGAGATCTTAAAATTGCTGTTGGGAAAAGGTGTCCTTCCAATAAGAGAGACCTGGAGCTGTTTGCAAAGGAAGAGTGGTCCAAAATTCCGGGTGAGAGGTGTCAGAAGCTTATTGATGGTTATAGGAAGCGACTGATTTCAGTTATGTTTTCCAAAGGGTGTGCAACCAAATATTAAGTTAAGGGTGCCAATACTTTTGTCCACCCATTTTTGGGGTTTTGTGTGACATTATGTCATATTTGCTTTTCTGCCTCTGTTTTATATTTGTTCCAATACATACAAAGGGAATAAACATGTGTATAGCAAAACATGTGTTAATGCAATACCTTTTTTGTGTGAAATACTTGATTTTCAGGAAAAATATCAAGGGTGCCAACAATTTCGGCCATGACTGTACATGTGTGTGAGTGTGTGTGTGTATGTGAGTATATATATATATATATATATATATATATATATATATATATATATATATCACTGTGCATTTAAGCCTGGAATGTAATCTCCTCTCCCCCATAGAACTGAATGAGAACATTGGTTTTATTACATATTAATGTTTCCTTGATCAAATATAACCTTACTTTTTTTTTTTTTCACTAGTAGATTTTTTTTCAGTCACCAATATTATCTGTGTTGCCCTAGCCTAGGTACTGTTATCTTGGGAACCCCTGAGCATCAGTAGTTTCAGGCATCAGGAAGTCAAACCTGGCATAGAGTTTAGGTGTGAGAATAGAGAATAGGCAATGCATTTTGCTATGGATGGACAGAAAAAGCAGCTGTCCAGCGTAATCTATTAAAGGATGAAAGCAAATGAATAATGTCTGAAGCAGAGGTCACAGATGTGTGTTTGTAGTTTCCTATTCCAGCTCTGGCAAACCATGGAAACATGTTCTAATATAAAAGCACCTTAGATACAGCAGTTTCAGCACTTTGCAGAGCTGTTGTGGTTGAGACAAGTTGATTGATGGGTCCGGGATGATGAGCTGCTGGCTGCAGCTGCATGATAAAAGAAAAATTTTCAGTGATTGATGGACAAGTGGCATTGGATGTAGGGAAAAACAGAAATTTAGGAGACTAAACGTAAGCTCTTGTTGCCCTTTTTGGTAAGAATAAAACCCAAAGGAAACAAGCATCTGCATTGTTCAAAGCAACCAATAATTTCCCAATGGTCACTTTAGCAGATTAGAAAATTAAAAAAAAAAGTCTAGTTGAACTTTTGGCAAAAGCAAAAATGACATGTATGCTGAAGTTTACCAAATGTATTGACACAGCAGTTTGTCATTTCCTCAGTCTACGCCTCTGTTTGATCTACAGTGCCCATGGTACTGTACATGTGATCAGTTATGACACCAGCTGTTTGATGGCTTGACAATTCGCTTATGAGCACAAGCAACAGTTATCATGCATGGCATGCCTTGAATGTAACTGTTTTGGGAAACCATTAAATTGATGAGTTTAGTTCTGATATAAGCAGCTGGAGTCAGGGGCGGACTGACCATTTGAAAACTCGGGCACTGCCCAAAGGCCTGGGGTCAGTAGGGGGGCCCATGAGATGCCCCTGGTACCTTTTTCATAGGCTTTTTTGAGTTTGGGCAAGGACACAGGGGCCCCATGATCCCCTATTGCCCAGGGGCCCCATGAGTTTTCAGTCCGCCCCTGGCTGGAGTAATAATTTTTTATCTTTTAGATAACAAACTGTTTGAACCATATAAATAAAGCTGACTGTTTATCTGTTGTATGTTTATCCCAACCCTTGTAGCTTTTGCTGGACAGTTTGGTTTGTGGAGAAAGTTACATATATATACAGGCATGTGACATTAAAAAGGTCATTAACTGAATGCTATCTTTAATGGCATAAATCATATACAGTATATGCCCAACAAAGATCAGCAATGCACTGGTACATAGCTGGACTTTGAGTAGTTATACCAAAATGATGCCCACAGCTACATGCATCATCCTGGTATCATTTTTTTCAACTGGTGGTCGGCTTTCATGTAAAAGCAATCCCAGCAGCTAATTAGCTGCTGAATCACTTTTAAGCAGTGGAAAGTAATGTCCCTCCTTCCGCCACCTTTCACGGCTTTCTCAGGCTCTCCCATTCCACTCTGCCATTCTACTGACCGTAGAGCTAATCGGAGATTGGAATGGCTCCAATCATTTCTATGGTCTAAGAAACCGGAAGCAATGAGCATTTCATCATTTTGGTTTTGCCAGACATAAACAGCGCCATTTTTAAATTGGGAAAGCATTTGATCACACCAGTCCTGGTGTGATCAGATGCTTTAAGGGCAGAGGATAGATCTAGAGTCTAATGAACTTCTCAGAAAGAGTACCTGTCACTGCCTATTACTATCAAAGGGGATATTTACATTCCCTGTGATAACAATACAGTAAAAGTGATAAAAAACAGTGTAAAAATAAAAAATGCAAAATAAATAATCAAAAAAAATCACCCCCCCCCCCGTGCTCACGCACAAAGGCGAACGTAAGCGTAGGTCTTGTGTCGGTATGTAAACAAAGATTTCACCATGTATGTGAGGTATCACTGCGAATGTCAGACTGAGGGCAGTAATTCTAGTACTAGTGTAAATATAAAGTGGTAACCTGTGAAGACTTTTAAAGTGTAGCTTATGGATATTAAAAATGAACGTAGGTTGTCGCAGTTGCCTTGGTGTGCGCAATTTTAGGTCATGCCATGTTTGGTATCTATTTACTTGGTGTAACATCATCTTTTATATTTTATCAAACAATCAGGCAATATATTGTGTTTTTGTGCATTAAAATTTAAAAAAAAATATTTTTCCCAAAAAATTGCATTTGAAAAGTCACAGCACAAATACTGTGTGACATAAAAAATGCAGCACCCACCATTTAATTCTATAGGGCCTTTGCTTAAAAAAAAATATAATGTTTGCAGGTTCAAAGAAACTTTCTAGCAAAAAAAACCCCCTTTTTTCATGTAAACAAAAAGTCAGAAAAGGCTTGGTCTTCAGGTGGTTAGAAGAGTGGGTGATGTGTGGCATAAGCTTCTGATGATGGCCCTGAAATGCCAGGATAGTAGAAGCAAACCCCCCAAGTGACCCCTTTTTGGAAAGTAGACACTCCAAGGTATTTGCTAAGGGGTATGGGGAGTATTTTGCAGATCTAGTTTATTGCCAAAAGTTTTTGGAAAATGAAGAAAGAAAACGACAATGTATCTTTTCTTCTCATTTTTTTCAATTTCAAAACCCTGTGACAAAAAATTATATCTGAAAAATACTCACCATGCTTCTTATCAAATTCCTTGGGGTGTTTACTTTCCAAAAAAAGGGTCATTTGGGGGAGTATTTGTACTATCCTGGCATTTTAGGGCCTTCGAAACTGTGATAGGTAGTGAGGAAGTGACATGACCCCTTTGAAAGCCTGAAGGTGGTCATTGGATTTTGGGGGCCTGTATGTTGCTATGCTGCCAAAAAGTCTCTCATGTGTGATATCCCCTTACTTGGGAGAAGTAGCAGAATGTGTTTTGTGGTGTTATTCCACATACACCTATGGCATGTGTGAGCAACATATCATTTAATTGATAACTTTGTGTAAAAAAAAAACAAAAAGTTTTTTGTCACTTTTCAAAAATGTGTCGCAAAAAATAAAATCTTTCATGGAATCACCATGCCTCTCAGCAAATTCCTTTGGGTGTCTACTTTCCAAAATGGGGTCATTTTGGTTTTTTTTTTTTAAAAAACCCTGAAGTAAGTGCTGCATAAATTCCAATATACAGTATATACCATAGTTTGTAGACCCTATAACTTTCACACAAACCAATTAATATATACATGTGGGGATTTTTTCTTTTACTAAAGACATGTAGCAGAATCCATTTTGGCCTAAATTCATGACTAAATTTGAGTTTGTTGGATACTTTTTATAACAGAAAGTAGCAAATATCACTTTTTTAAAAATATTTTCAGTCTTTTTTTGTTTATATCACAAAAAATAAAAAACCCAGTGGTGATCAAATACCACCAAAAGAAAGCTCTATTTTGTGTGAAAGAAGGACATAAATTTAATTTGGGTACAGTGTTGCCTGACCACGCAATTAGCAGTTGAAATAGTGCAGTGCAGAATAGCAAAAAATGGCCTGGAAGGGGGGTAAATCTTTCGGGACTGAATTGGTTAAGAATCACATTAGAAACCGTACTAGTTTTGAATTTATTTTGCACGACCTAAGTTTAGATTTCATTAAAACAGAATCAAATAAGCTAGGTTCACATCTATTCGTGTATGCTTTTGTTCATTTTTTTTTAAGTGCATTTATGACATTCAATTCGCATTTTCATTATTCTATTAGACATCACAGCGAATGAAAATGCACAGAAAAACATACATGATTCATTTTTTAAACCGCAGCACAATGCACTGCAGAGATCTGAACAACCTCATTGAATATTTTCCTTTTCAATACACATATTAAAACCTGAAGGTGTAAACGGGCCTTACCTGTTTTTTCACACCCAGTTTAATTAGCACTAGCAATATGAAAGATAGAATCTAAATGTAAAAATGGATAACATAAATTTAAAAAATGTGTGGATGAAGTCTATAGCCAAGGGAAACCAAATTCATAACTAGTGGAAAGTCTGGCTGACAATTTTGACACTTGCTAGAAGAACTGCTATATATTAATATATTAGTGGGCTGCCTTGATCTAATTCACAAATATACGTGCAAAAAACAACCTTGCACTGAACTTATGGCAAAGAGCGGCCAGATATCGCCAGGCCCAGATACGTTATGATGATTTCTAAAGCTATAAATCAAACCAAATTATTTCTAATGTGACAATGGTCGATATATTCAAAAAAGGGAAGCTGCATGTGCTATTAGGGAATACAAATTTCTCTCATGCAATTTAAAAACCTGATTCACAAATTTACACAAAAAAAAAATCAGGTATTAAAAATCACTTCAGTTTCTCACTTGTAGGCAGGTGTGGTTTGTTTTCTCCACAGCAAGTGGTGCTCAAATGAGTGCCTGAAGAGGAAGTCTGGGAGAAACAACATTTCTCTGTGGTTTCCAGGGTCAATGGAGCAATGTTACGGTTAGCTACGCTGCGCCCATGTGATCCCCGGTGGCCATTTTGAGTCAGCAGGGTCTATTTAAGTCCCTGCCCCCAGGTTTTGGGCTTTTGGCTAGTGTAGGGAGAGAGACCCTGCTTGTTAGGGAAAGTAACTAGTGATAGGGAAAGGTTCCTGAAGAGGAGGGAAAGATTAGGGACATGATATCCTGGAGCTTCCCTCCTGGATCTGGACTGGCCAGGCCACGCTTCACCCTCTGAAACAGACTCTGTCGACACCTCTCCTCCTCTACATCTGACTACATTGAACAGTGAGTTATTTCCTTAGAGGTGCTCTCCCACCTGGGTGCTTGCAATGTTGGCATTCTGTTTAATTCAAATTCCAAGTTTTACTGCAACCGGTCTCTGTGTATTTACACCCTCACCATATTGCACCTCCCCACATGTATGTTTGATACTGCTCATTATTTTAACAGTAAAAGACTATTGAGGATCATATGTGGTCTCTGGTTTCACCATTATTCTTACGCTACTAAGGTACACAGTGGCCTAGCTAATGAGACGGGCATCCCTGGAACACAGTTTGGTGTGAACTTACTGCCCGTGTCATGCTGCACTTCCCCACAGCACACATATGAAAAGGTAAGCTATCTGGTAGTATAGCAGTGCCTTTGTCATATTATAGATCCACTGCTAGAAATTAAAAAAACATGTATAAAAAAATCTATAATAATAACATTCTATGAATGGGGACATCTGTTCTGTGACACCCATGACCATATTATAGTGATATTTCCACTTACTGCTGTGTCTCTGGGACAGGAAGTGGAGGAAAATCTCCTGAGTGGGGATATGAACAGCAAAATAAAATAACCTGACAGTTCTGGCCAGAGTTTCCTTTAACTACTTGCCGCCCTGTCACTGTAGAAATACGGCGGCAGGGCGGCACGGGCAGGCAAAACCACGTTTTAAAACGTGTGTTTTGTAAACGGGGTGCGCGCGAGGCGCGCCGCCGCCCTATCTGTCCCGCCGATCACAGCCGCGGATGTCAGTCGCCGGGTCACAGACGGTCTTTACTGGCTATCTCCCGGCGATCGGCGGCAATCAGTGACAGAGAGCACAGCTGCAGTAGCTGTGCTCTCTGTCACTTCCCTGACAGCTCGAGGACAAGCTGATCGGGACAGAAGAGTTTAACTCTCCCGATCAGCCGTGTCCCCTGCAGTACACACCCCCGTCCCCTAGTAAAACACTCCCCCTCACACAGATAACCCTTCCCTGCAAAATAAACTTAACCCCTTCCTCCCCAGTGCCATTAGTACAGTGTCAGTGTTTTTTTTTGTTTTGCATTGATCACTGTATTGGTGTCACTGGGGATGTCAGTGACCCCAAGTCAGTACCCCCCAGTGCCAGAATGTCCGCCGCAGTCCCGCCATAAGTCACTGATTGCCGCCATAAGTCCCTGATCGCCGCCATAAGTCGCTGATCGCCACCATTATTAGTACAAAAAAACCCGAAAAATCCCAGTATCTTTCCCGCCATTTGAAAACGCTATAACTTTCACGTAAACCAATTAATTTACATATAGTGTTTTTTTTTTTTTTAGCAAAGACATGTCGCAGAATGCATTTTGGCAGAAATTTATGACTAAATTTGATTTTTACATTTTTTTTTTTACTGGACATGTTTTATAGCAAAAAGTCCAAAATATTGTTTTATTTCCTCAAAATTGTCAGCCTTTTTTTTTATAGTGCAAAAAATAAAAACAGCACAGGCGATCAAATACCACTGAAAGAAAGCTCAATTTGTGGGAAAAAAAAGGATGTAAATTTCATTTATGTACCGTATTGCATGACCGCGCAATTGTCCGTTAAACTAGCCCAGCGCTGTATAGCAAAAAAATGGCGTAAATTGCAGTATCTATACCATAGTTTGTAGACGCTATAACTTTCACACAAAGCAATCAATATACACTTATTGGGATTTTTTTTTACCAAAAACATGTAGCAGAATACATTTTGGCCTAAATTTATAACCAACTTTGAGTTTACTATATATTTTTTATAGCTTAAACTAAAAAATATTGTTTTTCTTCAAAATTTTTGGCCTTTTTTTGTGTTATAGCGTGAAAAATAAAAAGCGCACAGGTGATCAAATACCACCGAAAGAAATCTCTATTTGTGTGAAAAAAAGGACGTAAATTTCATTTGGGTGCAGCATTGTATGACCGCGCAATTATCAGTTGAATTAGTGCAGCGCCGAGTAGCAAAAAGAGGCCTGGTCATTAAGGGGGGTAAATCCTCTGGAGGTCAAGTGGTTAAGCACCATTGAGATAGAATTTAATTCAGGGACTAAATTGTTTCCAATGAGTCAGCAAACTCCATTGAAATTCCATTGAGAAAAAGGAGCAGTAGAGCACAACTGCAAAGCAGGAAGCAGTACCTGCCCATGTAATGAGCAAACATAGATGCCCTGATGTAAATACATATAAATACGTTTTGTACATAAAAACAAATACTGTACAGTACTTAAGGACCATTTTTTTAAATCAAGCGATGATTTTTAAATGTTCACCTGAAAATCATTTTAAACTATGCCTGGATGTGTTCTGCAGTGAACTAATAAAACAACCTGCATGTCATTTCATAATAACAATGGAAAAGACAGGCTAAATGAAAACACCTTCTAGAGCCAGGAGAATATAGCTGTAAACACGGCCTGCTCTGCCATTTAGAATCCATGGAGAGTGCTGACTAAGACCAGACACACATGAAGGAGTTTCTTTTTCAGCAAATGGATAACAGTAATGTTAACTGTATTGACCTTTTCAGAAGAGGCCGATCTGTGCGTTGGAGAGACCTCTGACATTTTCTGCTGCAAACGATTTAATGCAATGGCAGTAGCACATACTGTACAATCAATACTGCCTGACATAATATAAAAGATAGCTAGGCAGCACTGAAGATCTACGCTGACTTGGAGCAAGCAGAGATGAGGGGTCAGGAGGTATCAGCACAAGCTCTCTGTTTTTATTCGCAGCTCATTTTATCTCTAATTTACATAAGGATTCACAGGAGAAGGTGGATTTTACTGACTTCTTCTTTTGAAAATGCTACTTGCCTGGCTGTCATGCTGACTGCTTTGTCGCTTTCTGAGCCATTGACCTGGGACAAGTGTACAATTCTGAAATTATGACTTCACACTGATTTTCTAAAGAAAAGTGCTTGGTCCCGGTTAAAAAAAAAAGTATTGAAGCCAGGAAATCTCATTGATTACAATAGGTCTCTTCTACCTCGTACCTTTCCCATCACTTAGTAATAATCAACCCTTTCATATTTTCAAGCCAAACCCCAGGCAGATATAAAAAAAACTCCACAAATTTATGCCGCTCTGTATTCATTAATATATAATTACATCTTTATAAAGGCAAACAGCAGTACTAGAATCTTACCTGGTATCAGCATCTTGCACTCCCTATACAGCAGAGCTCTGACTTGGAGAAGGAGCCCTAGGAGTCATGTCTTGTCCCCCTGCCTTTGTACAGCGCTGAGCAAACCCTTTGGCGCTATATAAATACTGTATAATAATAATAATAGGAGTCAGTCAACTGTGCGCGACCAGGGGCGGACTGACCATTTGGAAACTTGGGCACTGCCCGAGGGCCCGGGGTCAGTAGGGGGCCCCATGAGATGCCCCTGGTACCTTTTCATAGGCTTTTTTGAGTTTGGGCAAGGACACAGGGGCCCCATGATCCCCTATTTCCCGGGGGCCCCATGAGTTGTCAGTCCGCCCCTGTGTGCGACAGTACTTACAGTCATGGTCCAAAATTTTGGCACCCCACCATTTCTGTCAGATAATGCACCACGTCGTCCATAAAATAGTTTCAATTACAAATGTTTAGGCATTCCCATGTGTATTTCTTTGTTTGTATTGGTATGACACAAAAAAAGTGGAGAAACACAAAGCCAAATCTGACACAATCCACGCAAAACCACCAAAATGGACTTAAATATTTAATGGTGCAGCGCTAACCTAAATTAACTATAATCAATAAATGTGAAAATACATGAACTACATCCTTAAAGTGAAAACATAAGTGTTCAGCATATTTATTACCTGATAAATAAATCAAGTCAAATGGGACTATATCAAGTGTACAAAGTGAACTGATCCACTGCGGGATCCAATGTGATAACAATACATATTAAAAACAAATACAAAGAAATTTGAATTGCAGTGTATGACGTGAACTGATCCACTCAGGGATCCAATGTGATGTCCAAAGGGTGAAAAAACAAAAAAATAAAGGATATTTGAGAATATACACAGTCCAAATGGGACCGAATAATAGTGAAGACTGTTCAAATGGGACTGAATAATAGTGAAGACTGTCCAAATGGGACTGAATAAAGGAGAAGACAATAAAAAAAAAGAGTGTAAAAAAAACCCTTAATGAAACCCAAAGTCAGCACCACATACAAAACATCACTATCCCATAAATTGGGAAAGTGATAAATAATTATCCCCAAAGGATATACTAAAAATAAAAATGAATATAGATATAAAAATATGAAAACAAATATAAAATAAATAAATGAAAAAAATAAATAATAACTTCAAAATTGTGCCAAATTACAAAGATACAAACACAAAAGTGAAAAAAACACAAAAGTGAAGACAAAAGTGTAAAAAAAAAAATAATACATAATTACTTAATATAAAAAACACATATATGAAAAGTTCAAAAGGTGCATAAACACCAAGTAATCCAATGACTTTGGCAAACGTGCGGGTGACTAAGTGGATGTGCGTGACAACCAAAACGGAAGATATCCAAACACGGCTGAAATGCCCCCTCACCTTCTTCAAACGGATTAAAACACCTGTAGGATCACCAAAAGGATCCTCCAGGTTAAGAAACTCCTCTGCGGATGATATCCTCTCAAAGCGATGATATCCCCTTCAGTTATATGTGTTTAAGGTAGCAGGGTCCTCTCCAGGTAAGTATAGATGTGATACAGCCAACTCACATTAAAAGACATAAAAAAGATCTTCCATAGTGTAAAACCTCTTTATAATTACAGCGCCGTAAATACGTCACCACGTTCCTACGCGTTACGTCCCGTTATCACCCTGAGGAAGTCACGTGATAACGGGACGTAATGCGTAGGAACGTGGTGGCGTATTTCCGGAGCGGACGCCATCTTGCTACACCAAAACCCATGCAAGTACACCCATAGCATGTGGTCTTAAACACCTTTAAACAACTGTTGAAATGTGAGTGGGAAATTGGGATTTTATATGAGTTGTAATGGATTAAAGAGGTTTTACACTGTGGAAGATCTTTTTTATGTCTTTTAATGTGAGTTGGCAGTATCACATCTATACTTACCTGGAGAGGACCCTGCTACCTTAAACGCATATAACTGAAGGGGATATCATCGCTTTGAGAGGATATCATCCGCAGATGAGTTTCTTAAAGTCGTGGATCCTTTTGGTGATCCTACAGGTGTTTTGGCCCGTTTGGGTCGTGGCAAGGAGGTAAGGGGGCATTTCAGCCGTGTTGGATATCTTTCATTTTGGTTGGCACGCACATCCACTTTGTCACCCGCACGTTTGCCAAAGTCATTGGTGTTTATACACCTTTATATATGTTTTTTTTATATTAAGTAATTTAATATATACAGGTGAAACTCGAAAAATTAGAATAGTGTGCAAAAGTTCATTTATTTCAGTAATGCAGCTTAAAAGGTGAAACTAATATATGAGATAGACTCATTACATGCAAAGCAAGATAGTTCAAGCCGTGATTTGTCATAATTGTGATGATTATGGCTTACAGCTCATGAAAACCCCAAATCCACAATCTCAGAAAATTAGAATATTGTGAAAAGGTGCAATATTCTAGGCTCAAAGTGTCCCACTCTAATCAGGTAATTAAGCCATAACACCTGCAAAGGATTCCTGAGCCTTTAAATGGTCTTTCAGTCTGGTTCAGTAGGAATCACAATCATGGGAAAGACTGCTGACCTGACAGTTGTGCAGAAAACCATCATTGACACCCTCCATAAGGAGGGAAAGCCTCAAAAGGTAATTGCAAAAGAAGTTGGATGTTCCCAAAGTGCTGTATCAAAGCACAATAATAGAAAGTTATGTGGAAGGGAAAAGTGTGGAGGAAAAAGGTGCACAAGCAGCAGGGATGACCATAGCCTGGAGAGAATTGTCAGGAAAGGGCCATTCAAAAGTGTTGGGGACTTTCACAAGAAGTGGACTGAGGCTGGAGTCAGTGCATCAAGAGCCACCACACACAGACGGATCCTGGACATGGTCTTCAAATGTCGTATTCCTCTTGTCAAGCCGCTCCTGAGCAACAACGTCAGAATCGTCTTATCTGGACTAAAGGAAAAAAGACCTGGTCTGTTGCTCAGTGGTCCAAAGTCCTCTTTTCTGATGAGAGCAACTTTTGCATCTCATTTGGAAACCAAGGACCCAGAGTATGGAGGAAGAATGGAGAGGCACACACTGCAAGATGCTTGAAGTCCAGTGTGAAGTTTCCACAGTCTGTGTTGATTTGGGGAGCCATGTCATCTGCTGGTGTTGGTCCACTGTGCTTCATTAAGTACAGGGTCAACATAGCCGTCTACCAGGAGATTTTGGAGCACTTCATGCTTCCTTCCGCAGGGGAGCTTTATGGGGATGCTGACTTAATTTCCAGCAGGAATTGGCACCTGCCCACACTGCCAAAAGCACCAAAACCTGGTTCAATGACCGTGGGATTACTGTGCTTGATTGGCCAGCAAACTCGCCTGACCTGAACCCCATAGAGAATCTATGGGGCATTACCAAGAGAAAGATGAGAGGCATGATACCGAACAATGCAGAAGAGATGAAGGCCGCTATTGAAGCATCCTGGTTTTCCATAACACCTCTGCAGTGCCACAGGCTGATAACTTCCATGCCACGCCGCATTGAGGCAGTAATTGCTGCAAAAGGGGCCCAAACTAAGTACTAAGTACATATGAATGCTTATACCTTTCAGAAGTCCAGTATTGTTCTATGTACAATCCTTGTTTTATTGATTGCATGTAATATTCTAATTTTCTGAGATTGTGGATTTGGGGTTTTCATGAGCTGTAAGCCATAATCATCACAATTATGACAAATCACGGCTTGAACTATCTTGCTTTGCATGTAATGAGTCTATCTCATATATTAGTTTCACCTTTTAAGTTGCATTACTGAAATAAATTAACTTTTGCACGATATTCTAATTTGTTGAGTTTCACCCGTGTGTGTATATATATATATATATATATATATATAATTTTTTTATTTTTTTTTACACGTTTTTTCTTCACTTTTGTGGGGTTTTTTTTCACTTTTGTGTTTGTATCTTTGTAATTTGGCACAGTTTTGAAGTTATTTATTTATTGTATATTTATTTTTATATTTTATATCTATATTCATTTTTATTTTTAATATATCCTTTGTGGATAATTATGTATGGGATAGTGATGTTTTGTATGTAGTGTTGAGTTTGAGTGACATTAAGGGGTTTTTTTTGACACTTTTTTGTATTGTCTTCTTTATTCAGTCCCGTTTGGACAGTCTTCACTTTTATTCAGTCCCATTTGGACTGTGTATATTCTCAAATATCCTTTATTTTTTTTGGTTTTTCACCCTTTGGACATCACATTGGATCCCTGAGTGGATCAGTTCACGTCATACACTGCAATTTAAATTTCTTTGTATTTGTTTGTTTTTACCATGTATTGTTATCACATTGGATCCCGCAGTGGATCAGTTCACTTTGTACACTTGATATAGTCCCATTTGGACTTGATTTATTCATTAGGTAATTAATATGCTTAACACTTATGTTTTCACTTTAAGGATCTAGTTTACGTATTTTCACATTTATGGATTAGAGTTCATTTAGGTTAGCGCTGCACCATTATATTTAAGATATTTACTTGTCACAAGGTATATGATTAGTTGTTAGCAGCTCCCCACAGTCAGGAGGTTTATAAATTATTTATTTATTATTTTTTTTTAGTTAGGAGCGCAGGAGGGCAAGTTTGTGATGCTCCTGTAATTTGTAATTAAACTCAGCTGTAACAATTAACAGGCGCTGACAATATAGAAATCACACGGGCAAGCAGTTAAAATGGTGAACAATTGACTCAACATTTGTTTGTGTCTCTGTGTGCCACGTGGAGCATGGAGAAGAGAAAAAGCAGCAAAGAATTGTCTGAGGATTTGAGAACAAAAATTGTGGAAAAGCAAAGGTTGCAACAAAGGATTGTCCGAGTGGTGGCTAAAGAACCTCGATCAACTTCCAGACAAATTCAAGCTGACCTTCAGGCACAGGGTACAACTGTGTCAGCTCACACTATACGTACCATCTGAGTGGAAAGGCACGCTACGGTGGGAGAGCCAGGAGGACCCCACTGCTAACACAGAGATATAAAGAAGCCAGATTGGATTTTTTGCTAAACTTACCTGAGGAAGCCAAAATCCTTTTTGGAGAATGTTCTCTGGACAGACAAAACAAACACAGCTTTTTGGTGAAGTTCATCATTCTACTGTTTTCAGAAAAAGCAATGAGGCCTTTAACCACCTCCAGCCTGCCATATAGTCCAATGACGGGTGCAAGGTGGTTCTCTTGTTCTGAGAGGACGTCATATGATGTCCTCCCATTCTCACCGCACAATCGCGGCTCAGGGAGCGTGCAGCGCGGCGCTACGCTGTGTCCCTCGGACACAGCGGATCACCGATCATGGAAAGAGCCAAAGATGTCTGCTTGGTCATGTGATCAGCTGTGTCCAATCACAGCTGATCACATGTAAACATGGAAATGCCGGTTATCGGCATTTCTCTCCTCTCGAGGTGTCACGCTGACAGCTCGAGAGGAGAGGAGAGCCGGTAATGAGCTTTCCACGAAGGGGGCATGTACACTGATCATCAGGGCACTGATGATCAGTGTGCCCTGATGATCAGTGTAGCCCCAGCAGTGCCACCTGTCAAAGTCCATCAGTGCCTTGTGTCAGTGCTCATCAGTGCCTCGTGCCAGTGCCTATCAGTGCCACATCAATGCCACATATCAGTGCACACCAGTGCACATCAATGCCACATATCAGTGCCCATCTGAGCTGCCTTTCAGTGTCATCCATCAGTGCCAGTCAGTGCCACCTATCAATGTCAATCAGTGCCACCTATCAGTGATGCCAGTCAGTGCAACCTATCAGTGCCAGTCAGTGCCGCCTATCAGTGCCAGTCAGTGCTGCCTATCAGTGTGCCTCAGTGCCAGTCAGTGCAGCCTATCAGTGCCAGTCAGTGAAGCCTAACAGTGCCAGTCAGTGCCGCTTAACAGTGCCAGTCAGTGCCACCTAACAGTGCCATATATCAGTGCCATGTATCAGTGCTGCCTTTCAGTGCCCATCAGTGATGCCTGTCAATGCCCATCAGTGCCACCTACCAGTGCCTCCTCATCAGAGCCCATCGGTGTCACCTATCAGTGTCCATCTGTGCAGCCTATCAGTGCCCATCACTGCAGCCTCATTAGCGCACATCAGTGAAGGAGAAAAATCACTTATTTACAAAATTTTATAACAAAAAACTAAGAAAAAACATATTTTTTTTTCAAAATTTTCAGTGGTTTTTGGTTTAAGAAAAAATGAAAAACCTTGAGGTGATTAAATACCACCAAAAGAAAGCTCTATCTATCACAAAAAAATGATAAAAATGTCATATGGGTACAGTGTTGCATGACCGCGCAATTGTCATTCAGAGTGCGACAGCGCTGAAAGCTGGAAATTGGCCTGGGCAGGAAGGGGGTATAAGTGCCCGGTAGGCTAGTGGTTAAAGAAAAGAATACAGTCCCTACAGTCAAACATGGTGGAGGGTCACTGATGCTTTGGAATGCTTTGCTGCTTTAGGCACTGGATGTCTTGACCGTGTGCATGGCATTATGAAATCTGAAGACCACCAAATAATTCTGGGGTGCAATGTAGGGCCCAGTGTCAGAAAGTTGGGTCTCTGTCAGAGGTCATGGGTCTTACAGCTGAACAATGACCCAAAGCACAGCAATGAGTTCAGATCTTAGTCCCATAGAGCACCTGTGGAGAGATCTCAAAACAGCAGCTGGGAAAAGGAGCCATTCTAATCTGAGAGACCTGGAGCAGTTGGCGAAAGAAGAGTGGTCCAAAATTCCAGTAGAGAGGTGTAAGAAACTCATTGATGGTTACAGGAAGCCATTGATTTCAGTTATTTTTTTCAAGGGGTGTGCTACCAAATATGATATACTGTGGGAGCCAATAATTTTGTCCTGTCCATTTTTGGGGTTTTGCATGGAATTTGTCAGATTTGTTTTTTTTGTTTCTCTACTTTTTGTGTCATACCAATACAAACAAAATAAATAAGCATGAGAATGCCTAAACATTTGAAATTGCAACAAACTTCTCGGTGAAGTGGTGCATTATCTGAAAGAAATGCAGGGGTGCCAACATTTTTGGCCATTACTGTAAGTGCTAACAAGGAACATGCTGCAAGGAGGAGAGTACAGGGTAACAGAGAAATGGGCTCACCAGTCTGCTGCCTCCACTTTTACTGTCCAGTCACAGGCTGGGGAGGGTCATGATCTGCAAGTATTTAACTGCACCAAATAAAAATCTCTTTTTTGCACTCCTGAGCCTACCACAGGGGTCAATGGAAACCCATAACTGTTGGTAGGTTATGACTCCAGCTACTTGTATCTTAGGTTACTTTCTCACTGCTCAGCTGCAAATGTACATTAAAAATGCATATGTTTTTTCCTGCGTTTTGCCGTGTTTGCAGTGTTCTTTTCACCTGTGAAAGGACTCAAAAAACGCACCAAAAATGCAACCGCAAATGCGTTTTTTATGTATTTTTTATTTGTCATCCATTCATTTCAATGGGGAGGTGCATTTTTGGTGCTTTTTTACCATACAAAATATGCAGCAAAAATGCAGAAAGCAGGACTTTGAAAAATGCAATGAACCTGCAACTGGCCAATGTGAACACTTCCATAGGATTTATTGGTCATGCGTTTTTGTTCCCCTTTTTTAACACAAAAATGGAAGATAAACTGATCAGTGTGAATGCAGCCATACACAGGACTTTCCTTACACTCTCAGCAGCAAAGAGAGCAGCAGTAGAGTAAACAAGTATAAAACTGCTGGAGAGGTCTGCATTAAAGTGTTGCTAAACCCCGGACCCTGCATTCACTATATCTGGTCTCCCACAGTACACAGAACATGGAAATACAATTATTTAGGTAAATATAAACTGCTAAATACCTTTTCTCATCAGCAGTATATAGCAGTCATGTGACCTCTATCAGTGTCCAACTGGTTAAAGCTTGTAGGAGGAGTTTTCATTCTCCTCGGACTGTCCTGTGAGGCTGCATAACCCCTGACCCTCTGTCTGGACAGTGCTGATTGGCCCTGTGCTGATCATATGTACTCTTCCAAAGAAAAAAATCCCTAGCAATACAAACTAAACTGAGCATGTGCAGAGTGATTCCTAGAGCTTTATACTTTCAGCAGATGGATCGGGGACAGTAGAAGTAGGGGAGGATCAAAGAAGACAGGATCAAACAGCCTTTTTACAAAATGCATAGGATTAACCCCTAAGGTTCCATAGTGAGTATAACAAGCATGCTTTACTGCATATACAGACTGATTTTACTGTTGTGGGTTTGGTAACACTATAAGTAAATCTACTGCTTTACTCTGCATGGACGAAGCAGTGACCAATTTAAAATATACAAGTGTACAGACGTTCTCAGTCATCCTGGTGCGATACACCATCAATCCCCTCTGGGCATCACTTGCAGGCTGGTGTCTAAGGTAACATTTTTGATTGTAGGTGCAGTGAAGCGTGGCTGAGCCATCCATGCTGCAGCATACCAATAAGACTGCATATTGCCAGATCTGCTGTCTACATTTCCCAGACTTGGAAGCATCTGCTGCAGTCCACCACCCACTCTCTTTTCTTGATCTTCAACTTCCAACTTTGGTCCAATCACCATCCTGCTACACGGAACAAGGGGTGTGTCCTATCCTGCCAACTACACCATAACTGTAAGGAGGACTATGATTAGCTGTGTGTTGGTGCCATACGGTACAAGCCCAAGTACCACATCTTCTTGGATAGGGCATCTACCAACCTGCTGGTAGTTGTAACCCTTCACCATAATTTGCCAAATTCCTGGCTGTAAGCCCACTCACGACATTCCTCAAAGGCCATAAAGCAGTAATAGACTCTAGAAAAAAAAACAAGTTTTCCCCTGCAAGGCAAAGGCATAATTTACTAGTATGCATCCCATACTAGCACATTATGAAGGACTTACCTTAAAACTAAGTCCTCCAGCGGCACACTGTCACTGCTACAGAGGCTTCCATCTTCACCTGGTCTTCGTTCTGGGTTCCCAGGCTGAGGCGTAGAATGCCAGCACACAGTCTGTAAACCATTTCCCTTTGCACCTATTCTCTCCTTGGGAGAAGCACAGACTTGGGACACTCCGCCAATGTATTCTAAGTCCACAGTATTTAGCTTCCATTACTGAGAATAATCAAGGTGCCCTCATTAGTATACCAGTCTCTTCCCATGTCCCATTCTATAGGTTGGCCCAGCCAGGAACACTCCCAGATGTCACACTCCTTCCCAGGTTTACTAGTAGTCACTCACTCTAGTCTAGCCTTTTGCACCGTACTCATGGCCCTCAATAAAAGAGTCAGGGTGACCACAGCTGGTCTTGTTGCAGGGTTTCAGCTCTTGGACAGCAATAGCAGTTGGTTACATCCTGATGGCTCTTCGATGTTTGGTTCCCATGGCCCAACTCACAAGGCCCCTCTCATCCTGGCATTTATATGGGTACTAACTCCACCCATTACATTACTAGAGGAAGTTTTTTTTTTAAAAAAAGGGTCCCAACACTGAATTACCACTTTCCCTAACCCAGATTATATTGGGAATAAAGCAATCTAGTGGCAATTTAGCTAACTGCACCTGATATCTCATTTGTAGATAAATTCAGCAAGTGAACTGTGTGGGGGCGCTTTATAGCTTGTGTAAACTTAACTCTCTCTCCCCTTTCTCTTTTTTGTTGGTTTGTACAGTTGAGAAGTAGTTATGCTGTGGTATCAGGAAGACCTAATACAGCCTTTAAGGCTCCTTACACACAGGGGCTCCTAAGTGCTGTGCATCCCTCCTGGTGCTGTAGTGTGCCTAGCTTGCACAGGTGCAGTGTTCAGTACTGCTGCTTGCAGCCTGTTCACGTCTATGGCAGGCTGCAGCTGGACAAAGCTGAATGCTGTACGGCGTGTTATCCTTGTTTAGGGCCTATTTAGAAATGTTATACACTACAACTAATCAGGCCTTAGATGTGGTGGCTGCATTTGTGTTTTTCAGGGTTTTTTTTTCCTTTATTTCCACCTGATTATTTTGCCAGCAACACATTTCCTGTCCTAGGGTGACAATTCATGCTTGCTGTACGGTATCTTCAAGGGGTAGCAGCATTGTCACCCTAGGCTGCTCTCCCTATATGGGCTACAAACACCCTTTCCCTCCTCATCTCTCTTACCTAGATTGGAGTTGTTTTGCAGGTTAACTGCTTGCCCTCCACAGGATTTACCCCCCCCCCTTCCTGACCAGGCCATTTTTTTTTTTACGGCACTGCGTTATTTTTAACCAACTTTTGCGCAGTCATGCAACGCTGTACATAAATTAAATTTGTCTTTTTTTCCCCACAAATTAAGCTTTCTTTTGGTGGTATTTGATCACCTGTGCATTTTAACTTTTTTGCTCTCTAAACAAAAAAAGACAATTTTGAAAAAAACCCCAATATTTTTAACTTTTTGCTATAGAACATATCCAGTAAAATTTTTTTAAAAATCTAATTTCTTCATAAATTTAGGCCAAAATGTATTCTGCTAAATGCTGGCAGGAGAGAGACCTGTGTGAGACCTGTGTTTACACAGGTCTCTCCCCTGTCAGTGATACTCTGTGATCCACAGGTGCTGGCGGGGAATCTCCAGCCAAGACCCGGTGATTGACATCTGTACCCGGAAATGCAAATCATGTATATATACGTGATTTTTGCACAGCCATGCCACCATGTAGCATTATTTCTGCTATAGGGTGGAGGGGAAGCAGTAAAAAAAATAACTGGGAAAGCTGAAAGCATTGTTTGAAATTTTAGTTTAGTACACAAGAAGGGACTCAAGACTTCTAGCAGGGACTCTGGCAAGGACATATAAGATGCAATAAATTACATTATTCAGTTATAAATTTGCCAGTTTTGGGTGATCTGACCCTTTAAATAAACCTTTGTGTGTAGCTTTTACATAAAGACTCAGTAAGTAAGAAAAACAGAGATACCAAAAAGAGACAACTGTGAACAGCGAGGATAGGAGGGATGCCAATAATAACACAGTCCATATCCTGAAATAAATCAGAAGCATGTAAAGCGGTCCAATAGCAGTGGATCATGTGATAAGAAAAAATATATTGCCATGGAAACCATTAAGAGCTCATTCTCACCCACATGTATAGATTCACAGCTACTGTTTGCACTTGAGAAACTTTGATAAATGACTTTACACCTTCTATTGCAGTTTGGGGATATTTATTTTAGACTGAATTCTCTTTTTTCATC